AGTTAGTCAAACTCATCACACAGAAAAGTCGCTAGAAAGATTTAATTGTAATGCAGTAAGTACTCCCATTGTCAAAGATATTGAAACTGTAGGAAGCGCCCGTAACGAAAACTTTCCATACTGGCTGATGTTTTTGATGTGTGGACTCGGCCGGACATCGCTTATGCTGTCAGTGTGGTCCAGGAACCTGGAGAATCCTACAGAACATGACGTGGTTCGAGTGAAGAGAATTTTACGGTACCTGAGGGGAACTTCAAATTATAGACTTGTGTATAAGAATGACCATGAGAAAGGGGTTCTTATCTGCTACCGCGACGCTGATCATGGTGCTGATCTCAGCACTGGACGATCAACATCAGGGGTGTCATCATCGCACCACAACCGTTTTGGGGACTAAAAACCCTATGTGGTTGATGTCCTCTAAAGCTCGAATAAAAAAAATACTCCTTGAGATCCAACTAATTGACTTGGGTTTTCTCTGCTTTTCTAAGACTTGGTAGGCAGGAAATAAATTTTGACTTTGGGCCATTTGCTAGGAATCAATTAATTATGTACACCTTGCACCTAAGTAATGTTCGTCATTGGTGCGAGAAAAGTGTGGATGGGGGTTATTCGGCACTACTCACACCAAGGTTAAAATAGTGTTACCAATAAAAAACGGTTTAAATGTCTTTTTAAAGTATCCTGTGCAAGTAATATAAAAACACATACTTTTTCGGACCATGGTCTTCAATTAGGGTTCCTTAAATGTGGGTATCTTACTACAATTTTAAGAACGCTTAGACACCAGGCGAACTTTAACAAAGAAAAGATGGCGTCGGCCAGTGGAAACGTGTTGCATACAGTGTTGTCTTCTAAAACAAATGATGATGTTGATAAGCAATGCAGAAAATGTAAAAACAAAGTATCTAATGCCTGGTCATGTGTTAAATGTCATAAGTACTTTCATAAAAGCTGTGCTTTAGTGGTACAAGAAAGGAATAACAAGCTTATTTTTATGTCGAATAATGAGCTAGTATGTAATAAGTGCTGTGGTGATTCGAATGAATCTGTAAATTCCAATAGTTCTACATCTTCTGCTCAAGATGTTTTAAAGTTCTTGAATAGTGATGAATTTTCCAATCTGTTAAATAAAATGGTCGACAAGGCTGTGCCTCTTCTAATGATCGAAATTAAAAAACTTAGAGATGAGGTTCAGATTCTAAAATCAAGTATTTTCGAGATGGCGAAGATGTCAACAAGAGAAACCCCGTATAGTTCTTTAAAACTGCCTTGTTGGGATGATGATCGTTTATCTGAAAAATCATCGGTTTTATATAGTAATGAAATTGAAGGTAATGTCTTCACAATTAGTGGTAATAGTGACAAGAAGGTCCTCAGAAAAACCTGGATAAAACATCGTTTAAAAGAAATGTAAACCTTCGCTCAGCTGTTGTGGAAGATAATCAAAACGTCTATGAACCCAATAAAAATGCTCCAGTTAAGTCCAATATTACTAATGCTACCAGTAAAACGAGGGTAATGAAGACCTTGATAATTGATACTTCTCAAGTCACCAATGAAAATGGAGATGCTCTTGAAGATCGTAGTAATGAGTTCGTTGCTGTCACTAGGCGACGAAAAAGGGACATTCATGTCACAAGAGTAAATCCTGGGGTTAATATTAGTAGGATTGAAGATATATTAGGAATAAATTATAGTGTGTTTGTAGCGCAAATGACAATATGGACAATATTCAATCCTTTGAACTCAAACAGTTAAATTCTAAGTTCCCGGATAAATACAGTTCCTTTAAATTATCAATCGATTTCTCATTAATTGAAAAAGTTTTGGATCCATCTTTTTGGCCAATCGGTATTGCTGTTCGTAAATATTTTAGTCCTCGTAGTGTACGAAGACAATCAAATTTTCAAAAAAGTCCATATCATCAAACTCAGAGTTAACTATTTATTATCAGAATGTTAGAGGGTTGAGAACTAAAATCAGTGATTTATATTCTAGTGTATTGTGCGAAAACTATCCGATAATTTCATTAACAGAAACTTGGCTTAATGACACATTTTTTAATAGGGATTATAGATGATAGATGTGTTGTTTACAGAAAGGATAGATCCTTTTTAGAGACGAATAAATAACGTGGTGGTGGTGTAATGATAGCTGTTATAAAAAATATTCCTTCTACTTTACTGCAAATTGATACTCTTCAAAGAGAAGAAGTTTGGACACTAATCTCGTTTAATGGCATTCAAATTATAATTGGAACTGTGTATTTTCCTCCTAATTCACCCTTAGCTGTATATTCTGACCATATATCTTTGGTTGATTTAATTGCTGATTATCCTAACACTACAGTATGTATTGTTGGTGATTACAATTTGCCTGGATTGAGCTGGAAAAGTGATACTAATTGTAATTATTTAATACCTGTTAACGTTGTTTCAATGATTGAAGAATTAATTTGTGACAATTTCGCTGTGAGTGGTCTTTTTCAATACAACTTTATATGGAATGGAAATGAATTTTGGATTTAAGCTTTAGTAATACTACACTTATCATTGAAGAATGTTTGTCCTTATTACCGAAAGATATAAATCATCCTGCCTTTATTATTAAAATTAGTGACATATTCTTGCCTTTACTAGATCTTACTATATACACATCTTGTTTGGATTTTAAGAACGCGTCATTTGATGCAATTAATACCTACCTGGAGCAAATTGATTGGTTTACCATGGAAAATTTTTCTCATCTCGATGATTGTATGTATTATTTTTATTCTCACATAAATTCTCTTATAACTCGTTTTGTTCCTATTGTTGTTAAAAAACCTCAGAACAATTTTCCTTATTGGGTTGATAACCATACAAGATCTCTTATTGTGAAAAAAAAGAAGCTCATAGGAATTTTAAGGTAACTGGATTATATTCAGATTACGTAAAGTTTTGTGATCTTAGACGTACATCTAAGTTGGCTATGAACTTGTGTAGGAAAAATCATATTCGAAGTGTTGAGCAGAATATTATTGTTAATAGTAATTGTTTTTGGTTATTTGTCAAGAAATCAAAACCTAATACAGTGGGGTTCCCCTGTTCTATGTTCTTAGGTGATATCACAACTGATTCTTCTAAATCCGTTGCAGATTTGTTTGCTACTTATTTTCAAACTGTATATACGGTAGCTGATACTGATGTTAATATGAGTTCATCAAATTGGAAACACAATCTTGTTGATATTAATTCATTTGAAATATCCACCGACCTTGTTTTGTCTAAATTACTTTCCTTAGATTCTTCTGTTAAAATAGGTCCAGATGGTATTCCATCACCATTTTTAAAACAATGTGCTCACAATTTATGTTTTCCCCTTCAAATTTTATATAAAAGATCTTTACAATTATTCAAAGTTCCTACACTATGGAAAATTTCTTATGTTACAGCTATTTATAAGAAAGGTCATCGTAGTGATATTTCAAACTATAGACCTATTAGTATTGGTTCACCTATAGCCAAAATATTTGATTCAATTACATGTGATATTTTGTCTTTCCATGTAAAAAATATCATCCTAGATGAACAGCATGGTTTCTTTAAAGGGCGTTCGACAACTTCTAATTTAATGATATTTACTAATTATATAGTTAATAATATGGAAAATGGTTACGATACTGATTGTATTTACACTGATTTGGCAAAAGCTTTTGATAGGGTGAATATTCGTATTCTACTATGTATTAAAATTGGCTAAGATTGGAATTGGTGATCCTTTACTATCATGGATAGATTCATATCTAAGTAATCGAAGGCAATTTGTAATTATAAATGGGTTTAAATCAAAATGTATAATTCCATCTTCCGGTGTTCCGCAAGGTTCCCATTTAGGGCCCTTGTTTGTCTCTCTATTTATAAATGATATCAAAGATGTTATAAAATCTAGTCAGTTTTTACTATTTGCAGATGATTTAAAAATCTTTAAAAAAATTACTTGCCCCTCTGATTGTCATATGATACAATCTGATTTGAACTTTTCAGAATTTTGGTGTAAGAAAAATGGACTAGAATTTAACATATCTAAGTGTAAGGTTTTAAGATTTAGTCGCAAATTATGTTCTCAACAGTATAATTATACATTGTCTTCTATTGTTCTTGAAAATGTGACCAGTTTTTGTGATTTAGGAATTACTATTGATAGTAAACTCTCTTTTACTTTTCACATAAATAATATTGTTTCTAAAGCAAATAAAATGTTAGGATTAGTAAAAAGAACCTGTAGTGAGTTCTCAAATCTTAGATCTTTTATTGTTTTGTTTTCATCTTTTGTAAGGGCGATCCTCGAATACCATGTTACTATATGGTCTCCTTATTATAAGATGCACAGTCAAAGAATTGAAAAAATTCAAAAAAAATTCGTCAAATTTATGTGCTATAAGTTCAATATATTTTTCAATAACTGTAATTATACTATGATAATAAGTTATTTTGGGCTTACGTTACTTTCTAAGAGAAGAATAATGTTTGATATGTGTTTTGTTTATAAAGTATTGTATGGTATTGTTACTTGTTAAAATATTTTAATTTTATTTATGATACACGTTCCATCTCGTCAAGTAAGAAATTCTCACTTACTTTCAATTCCATAGCATCGTACTTTGTACGCGTTTCAATCGCCTGTTAGTCGTCTTGCTAGACTGACACTTATCTATAATGAAATTGAGTTTGTGGAAATTTCTTACACCAGGTTTAAATCATCGATCCACAGGAAGATTTCAATTTAGTGTTGTAACTTTTGTATGTTTTTATTATTGTAATTGTTTTTTTTTTACCGTTAATAAACAGCATCATCATAATTTTTACGATAATACGAAAGTACATTTGAAATTTCAAAGCTCAGTAGTTGCGGAGATTATTTGTTATGAAATAAACAGCTTAGAACGTAATTATAATTGTGACAATAGCTACTTTTTATGAGTTTCAGATCGTCTCATTTCGTTTTGTTTGTTTCAGAACCGAAGACCTCATCAACGACCAGTTCGTCTTCGAACCCCCAGGGATTGGCAACCCTAATTGTTATGATAGCAGTTTTAACAATTATTATTCTGTTTTGCTGTTTTGCCGCGCCAGGTGTTCGTGATTTATGTAAACGATACATTTTCCGTACCTGTGTTATAGACGATCCAGACGAAGACAATGGTAATGTTATTTGAAATATTTTTTTCATTTTATTTTGGTTTGGTGGTGCTGTAGTATTTATTAGTGGCACCTTTTGGTTTTACGCATTGCTACACTTATTAATTTTTCAAATTATGATCAAAACGAATTAGAACACACATTTGAATAGTTTAATCAGTCAACAGCCATATGGGACAAATAAAAAAAGTGGATACAATCTATTTACCTCAATACATCCAATAGGACCACTCTGGTATGCATTCATACATATTTCTCATTCTTATTTGTTATTCAGAGATAATTCGGGGATGTCATTTTTCATTTATTTATGTTTTGTACCCGCGCCAGAATCAATTTGTTAAATTATTGTTACGCAAAGATACTAAAATACTTGATGGATTCAAATTGTTTTGTTAACTCTTTTACGATCCGATTTTCAGATAAAAAATGTATTCATTGAGAAACTGGTTGAAGACTACTGGCGCTGTACGTTTAAATTTAGTGAAGAACTATGCATGAATACTTTCATCACTCTTAAACATTTATAGCAAATTGCTCAGCATTAATCTGTTTGAGTGAATTGTGCTTTAAGTTGAAGTGTTCTCTTCACTCTTAATATTTTCAACGAAGTAATATAAAATAAGTAAACAATTCTGGAAGGTGATAATGATGTATTCCGCGATTCTAATAAGTGAATTTTTAAAAGTGCGTGTTTGTTACACCCACGAAATTTTAATTACGCTTGTAAATATAGCTTGACATTAAAATGTTGATTAAACAAGTCCGCTTTAAACATGTGCGCTTGTATATCAACTGTCATGAAAGTTTATTATATGGCTAATTTTAAATTAATATCATATAAATAATCCCGAAGAAATTATTTGTTTAATTTTCTTATTAAACCGGCGAATTATGAACACACCTTTGGTTTTTGTAGTGGATGCGTAACAAACAACATATGAAAAAATAAACTAACGTCGCTGTTCGTTCTAAATAATTTGTAAGTTTTATAACATAAAAACAATTAACAGGGAAGTTAGAATGCTTTATCTTTTCTGATGTATACGCATCCGAACATTGCCAACAAAAGTTGTTTTTTAAATTCTTGGCATTCTGTTAAGACAGTATTTTAATTTTAGCCGCAGCATTCTTTTGGTTTAAAATATTAAAAGGTATAATTTTTAGGTAATTAACTGAAGTTGTTTTTGTTCCAAAATTCTTTGGACAGTGGCATTAAACAGGCAAAAAATTCTCGTATTACTCCGAAACAGTTTTCTTATAGACATGAAATTTAGTGTTTAATTAGTGTAAATACGCAATAAAACAAAATACAAAGTTGTAAACCTAGAAACCACTTTGTTTTTGAAAAAAATTCAACCTGTAATGTAAATAGACGGGTAATAACCTTCCTACATTTACTTAAAATAGTAGCTCTTCAAAGAATTGCACGCAAACATTTTGACGTTGTTTAAAGCAAGTAATTTTGACGAGAATTTCCAGACCACCTGTGCATATATATATATAATCATAATAATAAACGCTATAGTCGATTTTGTTTTAGTACGTAACAATGGTTACAAAAACAGCAGGAAGTTTCTAATAAATAGCAGACCCGAAGTTTTCATAAAAACGAATTGTATACTGAGAATCAGCTATAAAAATTAAGCAAAATGCTTGAAAAATGTTTTACAAACGTTAAACGCTGGCAGATTTAAATTACGCAGATAATCTCCGAAACTACCGGATCGATTGTTGTCAAACTTTAAATGTATGTGAAGGATATCGTGTAGATGGTAAACCGCTAACCAAATTTGTGACTCCGCATGCGCATCCTTTTTCAAAACCACGTGCCGACTAATCTCCACTTTGCTTACAGTTGATTTTAGAAGCGCAACGTAAATAAAAACATAGCCTCAAATTGCTTTTTTCGACAGAATCAAGCCGTAAACACGTGCGTAAGCTTTCGCTTATTGATATTCTCAACTTAGCGCTCTAACACGTTTGTGCCCGCATGCACGATATTGTCTCACTTTGTATCATTGCAGTTTAAATAGTGCTTACTCGCTCTGTTTAAAATATAAGGGTCAACTCTATCACCAAAAAATCGGCAGTTTATTTTACATGCATGTAGTTCAATCTATTTTTTTTTAATGATTTTGCATATTTTTTTCCATATACAATTTGATAACAATCGGTCCATTAGTTTAGGATATTATCTGTCCAATAAAAATCCGGGCAGCTGGCAGACAGACAGACAGACAGACAGACGGAAAAGGAAGACCTGGGTCATGAAATGTCGAGAAAAAGTAAAAGTAGAGAGTCGGTGGACGGACTGGATTACAGTATTTCCTTTATTTACGCTCGAGAAATAAAAATAAAAAAATTAGTCGAAAGTTGTTTCGAGAGAATTTCCCTCGCTCCTAAAGCACAATGAAAAATATCCAGCATTTTCGAGTTGAGTTGTTCCTTTACACAATTTTGTGACGACATAAACTAACTCATTCATTAATTTTTTTGAGCCACCTGTTTAAGCAATTCTAAAAAATATGAATGCAATGATAAATTATAGTACCTGCTAAAATAAGAAAAGAGAGGGTGGGTGGGCGGGGCTAGTACTTGCTTAGATAATATTGATTTTGGCAATGACACCATCTAAAAATATAGTGAGCGAACGGGTGGGGCTAGTACTTGCTACTATAAAACGAAACACTACTAAGAGTTGTCATTGGAATGAAGAGGGGGTGGGTGAGCGGGCCTACTGCTTGTTTATAAAAGACTCTCTTGGAAAAAGTTAAACTTAGCCCCACCCACCCACCTGTTCTCTCATTTTTTTCTTCTGAAATAAGAAATAAATCTTATAACAAATAATACAACAAAAAGGTTACGATTGGCGCTTTTTTTACAGCCTAGTTTCTATGAGTTACTTGCCACTCCCACTCTGCAGAAGAACATATAATAAACCCCGCCCGCCCATCCGCCTCCACTTCGGTGATTAATTTTATATAAAAAAAGTACTACCCCAATTGAAGAGAAGAAAAAAAGGAGACTTAAAACATGTATAAAATAGTAAATTTAGTAGAAAAATGTAGATTTTGCATTTAAACTCCGCCCCTGTATCTGAAAACGAATAAAAAATTCATCAAAATCGAGACAGAGGCGGGTGGGTGGGGCTTAATTATTGGCCTCTTTTTCTTAATATATACCTATTTTCAACAACACCAAATACCATTTAATATTTTAAGTATGTTATTATTGAAAGAAAACTACATGTATGTACTAAGAAAATACATAACACCCACCCGCCCCATCTCAATTGTGCTTAATCTTTTTATTCGTCCTGAGGCAAAGAGCGAAGAGAAGACAATTACCCTTTATTTCGGAAAGAAAGTTTAAGGCGTCCAAATTGGAAAATTTTGTAAAATCCTTTCTTATGTATCTTTAAAATTATATTTTAAGGTACATTTTGACCAAGAAGCTTTCGTCTACCATTTAAAGTTAAAAGAAACCGCAGTACCTAAATATTTGAAAGCTCAGATTTCAAATATAAAGCTCCGTTTAAAATTATCAATCCAGAAAACACAATCACTGCAGGGGCGGCTCATGAGTTGAGTATTTGATTATTGAACTTTTGAATTTTTCAGTTTTACGATTTTGTCGTTTTTAGTTTTTCAATTTTTATATTTGAATTTTTTAACTTATGATTTTTAATTAACGGTATATATTAATTAATTTCAATAATGGCAACAAAGCACATCGGCTCATTCGAAAGTTTCGATTTTCAAATTTTCCATTTCTTCAATTTTTCGATTTTAGGTTTTCTAATTTTCATCTGAATTTTTGGCATTTTTTTTTATTTTGAAATTTTTCGGTCTCCCAGACCAAAATAAATAAGGAAAAATTTGCAATTTTTCGAAATTTCAAGTTTGCACTTCTCAATTTTTCAATTTATAGATATTTTAATTTTTCCTTATTTCAATTAATCGAGATTTCAATTTTTAATTTAGCTTTTAAATTTTTCAAGTCCCCAATTGTTTAATGTTACATTTTCCCAGATTCAAATTTTTTATTTAATTCTAAAATAACAAATTTATTAAAACTGAAAACTTCAGGATTTTACAGTTTTTGGATTTTTCAATTTTTATATCTAGATTTTTCCTAACTAACTAATTTTTAATTGCTTTCATCGCGTTTATTTACATCGTCTTGACTGAGAATATTTTTAATAATACCCATTTTTGCGTTTTTGAAAATTTTTAGTTTTTCTCGACGTCATGACCTCTAGAATACGAAAAAAGAGGTCTCCCGTTTCCGTCTGTCTGTCTGTCTGTCTGTATCCATTTTTATTAGACACGTAATCTCCGAAACTGCTGGACCGATTGTTGTCAAATTTTGTACATTTGTTACAAATATCATGTACATGGTTAAATACTAACCAAAATTTGGCTAATTATCCCCACCAACAATTTGATGACGTCATCTCCCATATTTATAATTAAAAGTTTTTTTAATTTTATAAAATAATTTACTCTCGTACTTGTGGTGTGTGAATCCGTGTCGAATTTTCACCCTAGACCTCCAGAATTTTTAGAAAAAATTTGAAACTGAATAGAATAATTGCAATATAACTTCCTTTAGCCCCCATCTATTTTCACAGAGGGCGTGGAATTTGTCAAAATCAGTCTTATCTAAGCAAGTACTAGCCCCGCCCACCCGCCCTCTATTTTATCAGTTAAAGGTGTTAAATTGCACATTTCCATAGTAACGTAAGTTTTTACTGTGAGGTGGCTCAAAAAAAATTAATGAATGTGTCAATTTATTTTATTGATTAAATCAGGAACGGTTTATTCCATTTTTCCAGAAAATTTTGGGAATACAACATGTCCTTGCAAAAATGTTGATGACGTCATCACAAAAATCAAAATTCTGTAAAGTAAAAACTTAACTCAAATATGCTGGATATGTTTCACTGGACTTTAGGTACGAGGGAAGTTCTGCTGAAACAGTTTTCGACCAATTTTTCG